GTCTCAACCTTCCTAATGCCGCGACCCTTTAATACAGTTCCTCATGTTGTGGTGACCCCCAATTTCATTGTTACAAATTGAACATAATTAAAGCATAGTGATTAATCACAAAAACAATATGTAATTATATATGTGTTTTCCGATGGTCTTAGGCGACCCCTGTGAAAGGGTCGTTGGACCCCCAAAGGGGTCGCAACCCACAGGTTGAGAACCGCTGATATAGAGGAAAAGGTGAAATTCCCCTTGATGACTTTGCTTCCTGTTCCTTAGGGAACGCAGAACTACATTTCCCAGAATCCCCTGTGTTCGGTTCCGGGTAAGGGGGACTGCAGGGACAATCCTGTGCTCAGGCTCACACGTGGTTGCCAATCCCACTCCCAGGCTTCGGCGGCCTTTCAATGCCTGTCCGCGCTCATGGACATTCCCGTGACCACAAAGGCAGGCAGGGCGGGCACCCTCGGTTTTACCGCCCCCACCCCCCCGTCGCCATTATATTCCGACCCCAGAATAAATCTAAATGGACGTGTCAGCATTTGTTCACAGCAGAGGACGGAGTTGCTGGGGACACAGGAGAGAGGGAGTGGCTGCCCCTCTTCCCACTTGGCTGTGAAATCTCAGGGTTTAAAGGAGGCAGAGAGCACACCCCCTGCGTCCGCCCCACATCAGATCTGGCGAGAACCTCACAGAAACCGGTTCCTCCCATCCTCCTCCCCTCCCCTCCCTGCAGCCCTGACCCCTAACTTACCTGCTCCCTCCACCCGCTCCAGCCCCAGCCCCAGCCCCAGCCTGCACCCAGGCCAGGGCCGCGCTGTTTCCCCAGAGGTGTGTGTGCAGTGAGCCCTTCCCAACAGACAAGACTTGTGGCCAACATCTCCTCCATATAACACAGCGAGTTTGAAACCCTTTGTCCCGTTGAAAAATGCTCAGATTGTGCCCATGCGGCTGCTCCCCGAGGAGGAGGCCAGGAGCCAGCAGAGGGGTTCTCCCCACTCAGCCTCCCTGGCTGCTGCCTCCTTTGACACTCCATGGCGGTTCCCAGTTGTTTCAGGTCAAGGCCAGGGAGGGCAAGTGGGCACAGTCCCAGCTGCTGCTACATTCCAGGGCAACGAAGGACCAAACCCCGGTGGCTGGAAGACCAGGTCTGATGTAGAGATTAGTCTTGGTGGCATCCTGCTGTGCTGGTCAGCTAAGACAATTACACACAGCAAACACAAATCAGTGATCCAAAAGGGACACTGGGGTGGGGGCAGGAGAGGCACACCTACTCCTGTTTGTAGAGGAGGAGGAAATGGTAACATCTAGCATCCACTGAGCTCGCTCACAGCTGGGAGAGCAGCTGTCCATCCCCATTTTACAGATGAGGACGTGGTCACACTGAGGCCGCGGCGGCCCCATCACTGGGAAGCAGGTGTGCTGGGCCCTGAACCCAGACAGGGGACACTTGAGCCCACAAGCGAGCTTCAAAGTTATAAAGACACTAAGAACCACAATTCTATGGGGGGCGGGGGGAGGGCATTGGGAGGGAGGAGGGAGAGGAGGAATCACACAGGTGGACCCAAGCCCAGGCCCTCCCCTGGAAGATAAAGACACTCAAAGGTTTGTTGTAACTATTCAATGTGTAAACTATTCCAAGTGTTTAAACACATGCCTGGCTTGGACCCAGCGCTTTTCTGCTCCCGACACGACTGCTGCTGCTAACACAGCTGTGACAGCACAAGAAATGCTTAAGGGACAGAGAGGCACAGCCAGGAAAGAACTAAGAGACACCCTGGTGAGTCCACTTCTGGCAACACCTCTTGTCCCCCCGACGCCTGCCCTGTCCTCGCCCCGACTTCTCCAGGCGCAGCGAATGGGAAGCTGGGCTCCATTCTGGCCTAGATCCCAGGGTCCACGCTCCCTCAACACCCAGCAAGACCTCAGACCACAGCCAAGACCCACCCGGGGCCCGGCACCCCTCCTTCCCACCAAACCTTCCCCCAAGTGTCGGCTCCTCACAGCGGACAGGACTGCGGACCCCGCTCCCTCTGGGCCCTTCGGGCAGGAGCGCCTGCGAGGAGAACTCGGGTCAGGTGGGGAGACCAGGTTCCTGCAGAAAAGACCTGGATGCCCTGTGTGTAAACACGTGCCAGCTGCCAGGCTCCCCAGCTGCAGAGATGCAACAAAAGAAAATGGTGTTTTCATAATTAACTTTATCTACTTTAATAATTACATGATCACATATATAATGATGTCTCTCTAGCATAAGTATATATAATTATGTATTTATAATAGCTTTTTATAATGTAACTTTCCACCCATAATTATTTAGGTTAACAATTAAATCTCGTCCTCAAAACACTCCTAAATGCAACAATAAGGAAGTTTCTGGCTCAGGAACACGGCCTCTGCCTGCACTGGTCCTGCACCTGCAGGCCGTTCCCAGACCCAAGCGCCCACCTGGCCGGCACAGAAATCGGAATAATAACCGGACATCGGACACTTCGTGGCAGCTCTGCCCCCAGCTGGTGTCTCCAGGGCCGCGCCCAGGAGCCTGGGAGACACTACAGGGCGTGGAGTTAAATAACCAGCTGCATCTCTGCCGTTCCAGCGCTCGTGCGGAGTCTGGGGATCCTGACCCAGACCCGCTGCCCGCTGGCCCCCACCTCGGGGATGTGGAGGCAGCCAGGCCCCCTGCCTTGGCTGGGGGGGTCCTCTGCGCCCGCCCCGACTGGCCAGGCCAAGCGCTTCTCACTTCTCCATTCCCCACGCCCACCTTCCGACCACGCCCGTCTTCCAGGCGCCATACCAGCCCAGTTCCATGAAATCTTAGATCCCAGGGCGGGTACAACGCTTCCTCGCCTCCTGACTGCGCTGTGCGCACGCGGGCACTGGCCTGTCCTGTATTCTGGGCGCTTTCTCCTTACTTCACCGGCCCGTGCCTTTTGGCCACAACCCGGCTTTGGCGCTTTCTTTCTGACACCCAGTTGTAGGGCAACACTCCACCCACCAGAGTCCTCCCAGCGTCCCCACTCACTGCCCGGGCACCCGCCGACACTGAGCAGGGAGCCCAGGGCCCGACACGTGGACATCTGTGCAGTTACCATGTCATGGCCACCCGGGACACGTCTACAAAGGCTCCGGAGGCCCGAGTGGGAGAGCGTGGAAAGCCCTCCTCCTGTTCGCCTGGACTGGCCCCACCATCAGCCCTCCGGACCACGGGCCTCAGGAA